AATTAATAAACATATGCTTTTTTTCAGAAGCTTCTGTAATGTTTATAGCCTTTGTAGTAATTTAAGAGAAAAAAATGCTTTGTCAAAGGGAGCTTCCAGATTCTCAAGTAGAATTATAGGTTTGCATTTTTTTATTCTGTCATGACTCATTATTTTTGACATATTTCAAAAGAAATTCATCTCATTTATCATTACCTACCAAAAAGGATTTAGAGAGCACTTTTCTTTTTAAGGGAGGGCATGAACATACTTCATTCTATTTTACTATTACTAGAATTTGCATATCTAATTTAAAATGCAAATATTATAGGTTCATGAAGTTCCCTAATGCCATCTTTACCTTATTTAAAAGTATCATCTGTATGTTGGACTGAAAATAGATGGTTTATCATTGCTCCTATTATAATCTGAAAATAAAGCAATAAATAATATTCATAAATGATCTGAAAAATGTCCAATATACAATTTTAGTGATTGTTGGCATAAAGCCAAAATCATTTAAATAGACAAATGAACTATTTGACAACACTTTTACTTATATATTATTCCCTCAAGTCAGTTTCTCCAGAGTTTTTATATGAGTTAGTCACTCTAAACATTTAAATGAGTGTTGCTAGTGGGCAGCACTCCACACAAGCACTAATACTATGTGAAGTTTACAAGAGTCAATGCCACTAAACTAATAAGGAATATAAGGAATATTTTCTATGAATGGCAACTCCTCATTACTATTCTATGAAACCAATAGTTTTACTCTGGCATTTTTGTGCAAAATATCTTTTGCATGTCAAAGGAGAGATATGTCTTCAAGATTGTTAAGTGGTATTTATTATATATTAAAGTAATACATTCAAGTAGTATTACACAAATTCTAGATTCCAGTTGCTATACAAATTATCTGATACATTTTTCCTGCCCACTAGGAGCTTACTCTCTGAGTAAAATAAAGATGTGGACAATAATATGAATATATTTATTTTTAAGTAATTATTTTAAATGCAAGGAGTTCTCTTGTATCATTTGTTATTTTAAATTTTCTTTCTCTCATTCACTGTAGAATAGTTATCTGTTTTTCTTCTTGGCTATATTTCAAAATCCAGATTTAAATTTACTAAACAAGAAATCCTTATTGAGACCATTGTTGTTCTCCAACTATGGGCATAACGAAGCCAGAAGGCCTTTATAATAGCTCCATTCCAATTACAATTAACATTCAATTGTTGGTTTCTTCCCTTTCTCTTAAAAGTAGATTTTTTCTCACTAATTTCATGAGTTTGTGTACAGATTGGTTATAACGCATATATGTTCTATTACTGACTAGTACAGTTTAACGATTAATAGAAAATGTAAATTCAAGTATTCTGAGTTATTAGTACGTAAGCACTTGTAAAATCACCCTTTGAGGTTCAGTAAAATAATCTATTACAAGTTAGACAAAGCCAGACCTTTAAAAATCAGAAGCTGACTTCAAGCTTAAGGTTCCTATGTGAAAGAACTCCATATATGTTGCCAAGGATCAAGTCTCTAGACTTCATAATAAAGCATAGATAGTTGCATGAACTTAGTCTACTTCAAGTCTATCTTCCAAACAGATCCCAAATAAACAGGTTAAGAGCATAGGGTTAAATAAATCTACATTTTCTGTATATATGTCAAATTACTTTTTAAAAATATTTATTTTCAGCCTACCCCTCCCCATGGAAGGAGCTGAGTATATTCAGTAGTAGGAGCACATCCAGAAGCCTTTGAGGAGGGGGATGGCTCTTCATATTCATGAAGCTTGCATACTTCTCTTGGTCATCCCTGGATTGGTCACCTCTGCTGCCATCAGTCATGAAGACTATCCTGCTGATGAAGGGGACCAGACCTCCAGTAATGACAATCTGATCTTTGATGACTATCGAGGGAAAGGGTGTGTGGATGACAGCGGCTTTGTATACAAGTTGGGAGAACGATTTTTCCCAGGGCATTCCAACTGCCCTTGTGTCTGTGCTCTGGATGGACCTGTTTGCGACCAGCCAGAATGCCCTAAAATTCACCCAAAGTGTACTAAAGTGGAACACAATGGATGCTGTCCTGAGTGCAAAGAAGTGAAAAACTTTTGTGAATATCATGGGAAAAATTACAAAATCTTGGAGGAATTTAAGGTATGAGTTACCATCCATGTTTATTGAATACTAACTTTTCACACCACATACTTAGTAAATTATTACATTAAAATTAAAGCTAGAAAAACATTTTTAAATTTCCCTTTAATTTACAACAATAGCCCAGTTAGAAAATGTACCACTGTAGTCAACAAATAGCTAACTGGTTTGTTGAGCAATACCTAAAGGGTTTCACAATAATTTTTTCTTTCAGAATTATTTGTGGCATGCTGCCATCTTTTTTCCCTTAAATTTTTCTTCTGTTATTACAAAGTATATTTTCTGATGGAAACACTTAATTGGAAGGTCTATTAAGTTAATGTTCAAATTTTATAAGATTTTTTTGATGTGGCTTGTTAGCCTGTATCTGGAGCCATTTAACCATAACCTAGAACTATCTGTTCAGTGTATGGAACTGCAATGCTAGAGAGATACAGTTTTGAGCTATGGTCTTCATATTAGAATATACACTGGACCTACTTCTTGTAGAGCAGAGTCCCCATTCTGTTCTCTGATTATTAGTTTTTTTGGGGTTTTTTTACTTACAGGATCCCAGAGTGAACTGAAATTTTATCATAGTCCATTGTAAAAAGTGGTAAAAAAAAAAGACTACTTTTTCAGCCTCCATGGTATTTCCTGGCCTTTCTTTTAGCCTTCTATCATATTTTCAAGTAACTTGGAGCTCATTTTTCTCTCCTTTTTAGAGTCTCTTTTCTCCAATGGCTAGTTTTAATTAGGGGTTCTTACAAGCCAGATTGGAGCCCTGAGGGTATAAATTAATGTATTAAATTATCCTTCTGAAATGCAATGGCAGTTTGTGCCATGGACTGCCTGTCATCCTGATGACTTGATTTAAAAGATTTTAATTTCATGTAACCAAGTTCAGTGACAAAGTCTCGGAACCTTATCAGCAGAAGAAGATATAGCTAACTTTCAGGATGGCTGTGTATGTGTGAGAAGAATGTTCAGTCATTAGCCCTGACCAAACTCCTCCACAAGAGTCAAATGGGAAATGAAGTCAATGTGTGGAAGAAAGGTTTTAACTAGTAATGATGAGAGCATTCTGTATATTAGCCTTTCATTGCATTCAGTCCATTTTAGATTGTGGGTATAAACTAGTTCCAAGTTACCCAAGGAAAACCAATCATTCTAAAGATTCCTAAAGACAGGAGAGGGCTTTTAAAGATAATTACCACATTCAACTATCTTACACATAAATGTTATTCTAGACTTTTCTCTCTCATGTATTAAAATACTTTGTGGCACAACATTGAGAAGAGGCCTGAGAGTCTAGTCAAATTACCATTACTGACATCAAATAATAGTTTAGAGTGTAATACATTTAATAATAACTTTATGGTCTCTAAAATATTGGATACATTTTGGCATTGGCAAAATTAGGTTTACAGTTGTGAATATGTGAAACACTTTATTCTTGTATTATTTATTTACTTATTATTTATTATTATTGACCTACTTTTGCCTGGGCCTGTATGTTCCTGCTGTAGTCATTATATAACTCACTGATGTGAACAAGTTTTCCACCTAACTCTCTATGTCATGAGATCTTTAAATGTGTGTGTGTGTGTGTGTGTGTTAAGATGCCACTTGTCTACAACAATTTATTTATTTTTTTTTTTTTAATATTTTATTGATTTTTTACAGAGAAGAAGGGAGAGAGATAGAGAGTTAGAAACATCGATGAGAGAGAAAGATCGATCAGCTGCCTCCTGCACATCTCCTACTGGGGATGTGCCCGCAACCCAGTTACATGCCCTTGACCGGAATCGAACCCGGGACCTTTCAGTCCGCAGGCCGACGCTCTATCCACTGAGCCAAACCGGTTCTGGCATCTACAACAATTTAAATATTATCTAGAACAAATTTTTAAAAATGTGGAGCTGAGACAAAGAAAGTTTGTTACTTGTCCAAATTGTCAAGTTATTTTACCTTTTCCTAAATTCTGCCATTCTAACTAAAGTCTACAGAACCTCTCAAAGCACTTTGGCTCAAGGGCCAGATAGGCCAGGATTCAAATCCCAAATGATTACTTAGACTCAAGACTTTGGAAAGAGTCCTTAAACTTTTTTGAGCCAGACGGCTAAAAAATGACCATCATAATAATTATTTTTCTTGAGAGGAGATATTAGAAAGATTTAATGAGATAATTTATGCAAAGTTAGCAGCCTTGTGATGACTGGTACACAGTAGATATTGAATAAATGGTGTTCTCATTCCTCTAAATTTTAATGTCCAGGGATTTACTCTAAGTTGTAAATTCTCTATGACTTTGCCTACATTTTATAATGGAAGACCAATATTAAAAGTCATTCAATTGAAAGAATTCCAAAACTTTTTTTAAACTGTTCTATTTATCTATGCGAAGTATATACACCTAAGTAAATATCAGCCATAACCTGCTATCTTGATTTTCTTTCAATTCAGCTTGCAAGAGACAAGCATTTAATTTTTAAACATGTAAGAAACTTTCACATAATAATCTTATTATGGAGGTTATGTGATGAGATATGCTTACTTATAATATATTCATCTACCAAGCATTTACTGGATTGTTTAGTATATAGGATACTATAGATGTATTTATATACTTACATTGGAAAGTAAGTTATCTAGAAGACACAATCTCCACTCATGGAAAAGCATGGACAATGTGGAGAGAGATGGGATGGGGGTGGGGCAGCTCTCTAAAGTGTGTTACTGTGAAGCTCAGCACCAAGAAAGGTGGTGTCAGAAGCTTATCAACATGCTGTAAGGTTTTAGTCAACAAACTTTCTTTTCCTTCACGATGGTCAAAATTGAGCCTGTTTTAAAAGAAGTAATTAAAATTGATCTGGAAAGATTAAAGTGCCAAAGAGGAAACTGCTTGAGCAAAATCAGAGACTGGGGCGAATAAAATCTGCAGAGAGAGGAGGAGGAGGAGAATAACAAGAAAGAAGCTGGATCTTATGAAATCCTATTATGATGAGAAAAGTAAATTTGTATATGTTTTGGACAGTGGAGAGAGGAACTTGAATACTGGGCCAATATATTTAGATTCAGTCTAAAGAATAATAAGAAATAAAATGCAGGTTGTTGTGCATAGAGATGACCTAGTTCAATATGGTTTTTTAAACCTTGTAGCCAAATAGAGCATTGATTAAGAGCTGAAGATTAATTGATGGCTGGGGAGGTGAGACTGTTGCAGAAAACAAAGAATGAGATGACCAGCATGCATAAGTGCACAAACATTCAGGACTGTGTTTAGGATAAAAATCTAAATTGCCTAGTATAGCCTAGATTCTACTCATCGACCTCTCCAAATACTTCTCTCGGGGGCTTCTCTTCCCTGTTTGCTTGTACATGCTGTCCCATACTTTTCCACCATCATACACTTGTATAAATTCCAGCAGATTACTTCAAAATTCCATTTAAATCTCATCTCCACTGGAAAGCTCTCTCTGACTGTTCTACTGCAGGATCTTGAGCTGGGTCTCACTCTTCTCCTGTATCGTTGCACAGCATGCTGTGCACAGCATTAAAACAAGGACAGTAATCCTAGCCAGGCACTGTTAAAACCTTTATATGTATTAACATGCACGTCATTTCATAATATCAGTGTGAGTATTATACTTTTTTAGCATTGTTTTACAGACAAAACCAAAGCATCTAAGTGGAAGTAGCTTGCCCAACCTCAAACAGCTCTAAAGTGTATGAAGTAAGATTCACACTCAAGCAGCCTGGCTGCAGAATCTAAGCTCCTCACCACCTCTGCTGCCTTCATCGCACTACAGTAATATACTTTGACACAGCCTGTCTCTCCCGCTGGACAGTGAACCCTGTAAGCCTAGGGACAGAATTTTCTTTTTTCTCCTCTACTCCCAACCCTAGCATTACATGAACCACAGTGCAGGCATCCAATACATTTTTGGTGAGTGACATAGGAGTCAGGTTATTATTGAACTCATTGGATAAAAAAGTTAATTAGAGTGTCTTTAAAATACCTTAGTTTCTTTCTGTTTATGTGTTGATCTCTTCATTTTAATTAGTTAAAAGAAGCACTCAACGTTCAGATAAAGAGTAATCTTTGGGCCCCTAAAGACGACACATCTTGTTTACGGGGCATCTATTTCCATCCTGTGACTTTCTACTTGTCTCCTTCCCTCTTTCTAAGCCAGGCTCATCTTGGAGTCTGCCTCCCTCCCAGGGCCGTAATGACCACCTACTGTTTTAGGTGTGCTGTCTCACTCTACACAGTTGCAAAACATGTCTCTCCTTCGATCTTCTCTGATCACCAAATTCAAATGTAAATTGGGCCACAAGTATCACCAATATGAAGAATAATGTTATGTATAAAGGTTGGATTTTTTTTTCCAACATGACAGATGCAAGCTTTGAAAATGGATTTCTCTACTTTTTTTTGAAAAGGCTAAATTTCCCAGTGTTCTAGTAATATTGTATTAAGATAAAGGTCACTATATAGTAGATTTTCTCATCTTTCTTTTATGTGTACCCAGGCCAAAAGACAGTAGGCCTACTTCTGAAGAGATAAGGAGTATAAATAATACATTACAATAGCATTTTCTACAAAAAAGGTTGATTGGAAATGTAGGCTCTATCAGCTTTGGCTTAACTGTCTTATGCTGAGTTTCCCAAAGGGAGAAATAGTTTCTTATTTTGCTCAGTATTTTTATCACTCTCACTCAGCTAGAATTAGCCTTTTTGGATTTTTTTTATACTTTAAAACTCGTACTGATTTAGTTTTAGGTCAGACACTGAAGGTTATCCTACATGCAGCTGGAAGAGATGGTTCAGCTTTTACCCAGCCTGTCGCACTTTAAAGTGATTCCCTCCAGTCCACACCAGTGTCCTTCATTCAGGATTTGGATTCACTCAAGATCTTCCTTTCTCCGCAGGCGTTGACTTCTGTCCTTTTCCCACTGCGGGCCAAAGACAGCAGGTCAGGGTTTTGATTCTTACTTTTATTGTTTTCAGTGTGATTGTTTTCTCATTCCGCACATTTTATGTACATGTTGTTGCTTTAAAAAAAAAAAAAGTCAACATATTCTCCCGCTGTGGTAGGCTGCCTAGTTTTTGCCCTGAATTTTGCATTACTATTTAAATCTGGATGAAAGAAGCAAAGAGGACAAAAAAATTAATCACTTGGAGTATTTTGCCAAATCATCCCGCCCATAAAAACTGTAGATACCAGTAAGGTTTGAGAATTGACTTGCTCTTCAGTGGGTACCTTCACAGGAAAATAGGCTCTCCAGCTTTCTCATTAATCTGTGCCCCATCAGGAATGTCCACTCTTGTAGCATTAAATCCATAAAGGTGTTTGAGCAGAAAGGAAAATTCTAATATGGAGAAAGAATGGAAGGCAACATTTTCTGGGAACTAAGGACCAAATATGTGAAAAAATAGGGGAAGGTGGTGGCTGTAAAGAAATCTCAATTGAGAGGACTAATAGTTAACACCTTGCAGAAGCACAATTCACTGCACCTCACCCACCCACCACCATTGCACCTTTTCTATGAAAGGCACCGTTTCTATGAAAGGCACCATTTCTATGCTTGCTCTAGGAAAGGGGTACAGAGTGCATTTTCCAGAGATGATGTAGGTGTGATGGGAAGAGCACCAGGTATCTGACTGATGGGGTCAAACAAAACCTGGGTTCAGCAACCTTGGTACTTGGGTTCTGGCTAGGAAAGAATTCAGAGCAAGACTAAAACTGTAAGAGAACACTTATTTGGTAAATTGCAAAGGTAGAAGAAATAATTCCTAGAAGAAATAGGCTTAGGAAACAAGTATGGATGTAAAGGAAGGGCCCTGGAGCTTGGGAGTGAGGAAGCTAATGGTAAGGTATGGTAAGGTGCCTAGGGAGGAGGGAGAGAGGGAGAGAGAGAGAGAGAGAGAGAGAGAGAGAGAGAGAGAGAGAGAAGAGGGTAGGAAAAGGCTTGGGCATGCTCCCAGGAGGGAGAGCACACAGGGTCCTCCATCCTAAGGGTTTTAAGGGTGGAGATTTTAGGGACGGTCCCAGGAAAAGATCTTAATAGAATATTTAGTAGCCTTCCAGGTATATCCATTCAGGGCTGTGGTCTCCACTGATTGATTGGCTGGCACCAGGGCATGGGGGTCATTATTCCATGCAGCTGGTTCTGACATCAGCCATGGCTGGTTTTATTGCTTATTTGCGCCTAGAGCTGAAATATAACTGAGGTCAAGATACTATCTCTAGGGAGGAAAGGTCAGGGGGTCCAAACATCATGACCAGAAATATGCTAGGGGAAGAAAAGTCATCCTGGGGGTGAGGTCCCGCCCTACAATTGATTGTCCATTGCTAGGCACCTGCATCTTTCCAACCTGATGGCTTTTTGTTGTTGTTGTTAATCCTCACGGGAGGATATTTTCCATTGATCTTTTTGAGAGAGTGGAAGGGAGAGGGGCAGACAGAGACAAATAATGATGTGAGAGAAACACATCAATTACACGCCCCAACCAGGGAGGAGCCTGCAACCAAGGTATGTGCTCTTGACCCGAATCAAATCTGGGACCCTTTGGTCCACAGGCCAATGCTGAGCCAAACTGGCTAGGGCATGGTGACCTTCTGTACCTGGCCCATTGTCCTTGCTCTGCTTATGTCTGTCTAACTGCCTACACAGTGTGAAGGTTGTATTTATTCTAATAACAAAGAAACGTGTAGATCTTGAGTATATGAGTGAGATTTTTCAATATTTTATTTCAAGAGAGGTTTTACAAATTCTGGACAAATGGTTAATGGAGTTACCAGGGACACTTGTAAGATTCCATCTAAAGAAAGTCCTCAAAACTATCATAATTTTATATAATAATAATAATTATTGGGGATCTGTGTTGAGATTGAGAAGACTAATTCTACAGTTGCTGACTGTGCAAAATAACTTGTTTTGCAGAGTATGTTGTGGTTTTTAACATTAAAATGGCCTTTGAGTAAATTCAGGAATGGCTTCTCTTTTAAAGTGTCTACAAAATACCACAGATGAAATCATTCCAGTCAGTGATGACGCTTGCTCACCTGAGGCTCAGCCCGGCAAGCAGAACACACAGTCTCAGGGTGAATATTCTTAGTGGGAAAGTCCTATCTTTGTAAGTAGCTAGGGAACTTCTACTTAATATGTATAATCTCTGACCAATTTCAGAGGATAGAAGTCAAATTTCTTAAAACATAAATTTAGAAAGTTCCTTGTACCTTTCCTCATTAATTTTATATTGTGCTCACTAGGCATTTTTAATGCTATAAAACTATACTGAATCTAGGAAATAGATCAGATTTTTACAATAATTTTTTTCAAAAACTCCAGTGATAAGTGGGAATGATTTTCTTAATGTTTTGTTTTTTTTTAAAATGAGGGAGTGAGTATAAATGGCTTCCAAGATAATCCTGGAAGGGGTGAAATAGTCTCTTGTCAGTTGGAACAGGTCTCTTGCTTTTAAATTTTAGGAGAATTGATAGTAAGAGCCCTTTGGTGAGTTGTATGTAGAAATAGTTTTTCATGCTTGTCCACTGATATATATCGCTGTCCTTCGTATTGCAAGATGCTGCTGCTAATGATGGTAGCCGTGTGATAAGAGTGACTACAAAGATTTGTGACTTGGCTTCTGTGCCCTGTGCACATGGGCAATCCGTGTTTGATTTGCAGCCGCATCTGAGATTTGTGGGGATTGTCACTGTGAGTGACTATCTCAGAGTTGAGGTCAGCCATCAGCCATTTTGCAGACACTTCAGCCCACCCCTTACTGACTCTCCACTGGTGTTGAGAAGATGAAATAGAAAACAGAGTGATCTGGTAGTCCCCCTTCCAAACTAACTCCAATAGTACTAGGTTTTGGATGTTTTAGAAACTTGCCTCTTTTTAATTGTGGCTGTAGTCTCCAGACTACATAATTGGTCAATTGTATGATATGGATAATTTTTTCTACTTTTTATATATTATTTCATAAATTGAGTCTACATATTTTATGCACATTTTATAGATTAATCTATATAATCTCAATTGAGATTGCTGTATGCATGCATTCAAGCATGTGTGTGTGTGTGAGTGTGTGTGTGTGTGTGTGTGTGTTAAATTTGAGGTAGCTGGAATATTCTTCACAAAAATCTTTAAGATAATAAGAATCCTGTGTTTCTACTTCTGATTTTTGTTTTATTTTGTTTTCCTACAGCTCGATTTATATATCAGGCAGTGTTTATAAAGCAAAGCTTACTGGTTTATGTTTTAGTTGTACTTTGCCAAGCTTTCCAGGAAGAGCTTGAAACATAATTAAGAGGCCATTTGAAGTGATCAGTGCTTTTGCTTATCCAGGTGATCTTTCTCAAACAATAGCCATTGTTAATTGGGAACTGGCTTATTTTAGAGTCTAGACTTTGTACTTTTATCATCATTACTGATTAGCATCAGTAATTTCAGTCTAACACACCTCCATTGTCAATTCCCTTGCCTCCAGCCTGCCACATAGCACATCTCAATAAAGCCATCTTTGCAAGGACTAGTGACACCATGAAAAGTGTGAATGAAGTACTAAAGTGACAAGAAAAATCATTTATCTCCTGAAAAAGTTTTCAAATGATATTATTTTAAGGCTGTATAAAGTTTTCTAAAGTGGATACACCCAGCTGGCATGGCTCAGTTGTTGAGCTTCGAACTATGAACCAGAAAGTCACAGTTTGATTCCCGGTCAGGGCACATGCCTGGGTTGTGGGTTCGATCCCCAGTGTAGGGCATGCAGGAGGCAGCTAATCAGTGATTCTCTCTCATCATTGATCTCTCTCTCTCTCCCTCTCCCTCTCTCCCTCTCTCCCTTCCACTCTGAAATCAATAAAAACTTAAAAAAAACATAAAGTGGATAGCAGTCACATCTCTTATGTTTTCCCTACTATGATACAATGTGACCATAAATAAGCTGTAGGATGGATATTATACTACAGTGTCATTATATATGTCTCGTGAAGAGTAAATAGTATTGGGAATTTGAAAATTATAGTATTACATATTGATTTATAACTAAATTCTAACTGCTTAAAGGTGTTTTTTTTAACTAAATACTACTTGGATGGAATTTTGAAATCATTTTATTTTAATACTGACCTTTGACTACCATTGTTACTTCTTGGCATAGGATTAGATTTCTATTGTCTGAGTTTATATAAATTCTATTTATAAAAGGCAAGTATTATGGTTTGTTTTTCATAGTCTAGGTCTTTCCTACTTTTAAGAGCTGACTAGAACTTTTAGATCTGGAAAAGAACTTTAAATTTGTTTTGCCTAATGCATTTTACAGATGGTTAAACAAGGCTAACAGAAACTCAGTGAAAACAAATACATAACTAATTATTGGCAAAAGTGATACTAATACATTGCTTTCCTGTGATCTTTTTTTTTTTCCCCGACAGGTTACCACCTGTAGTTACAACAGAAAAATGTTGCTTATTTGCATCTTCCTTTCTAATAAATATGTTGGATGCAAAGATTAGTTTCAGCCAATTGTCTATAGAAATGTGATATCAAGACCTATCACCATGACAACCCAGAGTTAAAGTACACAGAACAATAAAATATTGGCATATCTAAAATCAGTCTGACACAGTCTCCTTTTGCAAAATGTACTCTAAGTTTGCAAAAGCTCTGATAAAAAGAGGGCCATTTGTCTAAAAATGAAAAATTATTTAATTAAACAAACTATAGGCCTAAATAAAACAAATACATTAGATTAAACACTATTTTCATAGGTAGTAACTAATGCTAGGAAGTAACAAAGGAACTAAATTAGCTATACATTTGTAAGGAACTAAATTGCATACATTTGGTGTTTTCAGGAACTGAGGACTAAGTTCTTGATTTTTTTTTTCTTACTCTGCAATCTCTCATTTCATAGGAGAATAGAGTGTGTGAAATGGGTGGGGTGTGCAAAAGTCTCAGGTTATGTGGCATTGGAAGAAAAGCATATCCTTAAATTGGCATATTATCAAATCATTTAAGGCAGGCATACTGCAAAAACTCACATGCCTTGATCTCTCCCTTTTTAATTACAATTAAAGTTATTTAAATTTTTATCTTTTTCTTAAATTTCCTAGATTATTCTAATGATCAGCTGGACTCGGAAATTGCTGCCATATGTAACCCTGTTCAGACTGTCTTCTAGGGAACACTGGCCCCTCTGAGAATCTTTGTAAGGATTTTTTTTTTGTCATGGTCAAGTAAATTTAAGAAGTGATGATTCCTTGGACACCTATTAGAAATGTGCCAACCACATTAGTGTACTGACAGTGCTTGAACATTTTTGAAAGGTTTGTCTGAGAGTCAATATGGACAGTTCTACAGCTCAGATCTCAACAGTGTGATAGAAAACTGGATTTTAGAGGGGGCTCTATCACTTACTAGCCCCATGACCAAGGCACATGTTAAAATACTTCAGTATGTCTTAGGGTACACATCTCTAAAACAGATATAATAGTAAAAACTTGGCACACAAAAAGATATTCATAAAAACTATGGGACATTTTTACTATTATTACTACTAAGCTGAATTTAATCCAGTATTTCACAAATTTATGTAACAGTAAAACACTTTTTTCCCCCTCAGAACTTCTATTAACATCTTAAAGTTAATAACAGTTTGGTGAAACACAGCTTAGGAAATATCTTGCTAATGATTCAAGATAATCTTTTATTTCTTCGACTCTTCAGAACAGTTAATGATTAAAAAAAAAGTCTTTACATCTCAGTTTATCCTCGATTGTCTAGTTCTTTTTAAAGTTCCCCAAGTTACATTTGCTATGATTATTTATAGGAATTTATTAATTTTATTGCATAAAACAATTTAATTTAGAAATTACTTATTTAAAATTATAATGACAATGGTGCCAGTCACATACAATCAAAAAGCTAAGATAAGGGTCAGCACAATATGATCCATTAGCCAAATCCAGCTCACCTTCTGTTTTGGTAAATAGAGTCCTATTGGGAAACAGTGATGCTGATTCATTTATGTCTATGGTGTCTTTAGACTAGCATGCAGAGTTCAGTATTTGCTCCAAAGCCCATCTGACCCTCACTGGTCAAAAAAACTTACTGTCTGACCCTCTATAGAAAAAGTTTGCCAACTTCTGATCTATAATCAAATTATTCTTCTTCCCTTTCCACTTCCCTCAAATTGTTCTGTCATCAAATCTTTCAAACCTCCATTCCTGAATGTTATAAAATCTTTGGGTATTGATAAATATAGGACCTACTTTGCTTGTGGGTGGTCTCAGGGATCTCTTTTCAGATAGGCAAATTTTAAAATGAATCCAGATTTGCCTGTTTTAAGCAAACTTGCCTGTGTTATATACAAACTTAACAGTAGACATGCTTAGTCATATCTCTTTATCTGCTTGTCTCCAAGGAGTACAACTTTGCTCTTGGGTATATGATACTTTGCATGGATATATAATAATTTATATATAATACTACTCTAGTTTGCTGTTCTCTTTTTAGTTTTTTGATTCAAATATTTAGGTCAATGATCTTCAAAACTTAAAAAAAATCTATATAGAAAAAATTTCTGAGTTCTGTTTTTAAATTAGGATTGGTCAGAGATATTTTTCATTAATTCAAGCATATTTTAAACAGATGTGGCAGGGAGATAGGGAAATATCAACCAGTATTACAGAATATTAGAAATTGTACTGCCTTTTTATAGTGGATTAGAAATAAAAACAAACTCTGCAAAAAAACAAGTTAAATAAAATTTATCTTTTTATCTCATATAATAAAAGGCTAATATGCAAATTGACCAAATGGTGGAATGACCAGTGGAACAACTGGTCGCTATGATGTGCACTGACCACCAGGGGGCATATGCTCAATGCAGGAGCTGCCCCCAGCCCTCAGGCCCCAGGCCAACCAAGGTGGGTGCCAGTGGGCCCCCCCCAACCGCCCTGCCAGTTGCCCCACAGAGGGAGGTAACCGGTAGTGGGGGGCACTGGCAAGTGAGCGGCAGCAAGGGGCAGGGGCCGGCCAACAAGCGGGCCGGTGCTGCCCCCCCCCCCCCCCGCCACCCTGCTGGTTGCCCCACAGATCAGCCCTGATCGCCGACCAGGCCTAGGGACCCTACCTATGCACGAATTTCGTGCATAGGGCCTCTAGTATATATACTCTCTGCTTACTTATTCAGCCCATTATTATACCTTTTCAAGTCACTTGCATAATTCATAGTTTGATGTTATTGTGTCTCATTTTACTAAATATGGAGAAGTGGTAGGTCTTGTGGGGCTGCACCAAAATATATAAGACATAAATCTGACCTTCCAGGTACTCCTAGTCTATCAAAGGAGTAATACAGGTACCACTAACAACAGGGGTCCTGTAAGGACTGATCTAGAAATTCCTCTAAAGAAAGGAATAATTCAGTCTGAAGGAAGGTATCTTAAGAGTAGGAATTTCTGTGCTTTGAAAGCATTTTAGACAAAATAGGAAATTTTGCAAAAGTAAAATTTCTGTTACTTCGTACAGAGAAATACAAAGTAACCCTAGTGGTCAGAACATGGGGTACAGAGGAGACAAAAAGTGAGAAGGGAGCATGGGATGAGATCACAATGTCAGTGCCTGGTTAAGGGGCTGGGGCTGAAGCCAGGACTGCGTACAGAGGCACCGAAGAAGGGCTTGGATCAGGGAAGTGACACAACCAGATCAAAACAAGTAATTGTTGACAACTTTATGAAATATTTTGCAGCAGTGTTCCCTCGTTGAATGATTTAGTCCTTAGACATTTTTATTCTCATTTTACAAATGAGAAGGTAGGGCTTCTCACTCTAACTCCAGTGCTCTCTCCATTACACCTGACCAGCTTCTGTAAGTTCACTATGGACATTATGCAAGACGTGGTAGGGAGGGCCTATTTCCCATGTCAGCATATTCATGTCCTATATTCTGAAATGTGTGTTCAGTTCTAACTCACATATTTCACATTAAGTCCCGTATCTTTCTGTCGAAGTGTATAGTACATTGCTAACATGAGGAAAATTCTTTCCCTGCTCCACATTTTACAGGGCTCGATTTATCTCATTTTAAAAACTCCCATGGCCATAAAGAAGTATGCATCTAAAGAAGTGCATTCCCATCCATTAAAACAATCAAACAAAACCTGAATTCTGAATGCAGTGAGACTTGACTACAAATATTTTTGTAAACTTAGGTTGTTGTTGTTGCTGTTTTTCTAATTTCTACATCAGTGAACTACAAATTTAAAACAACAACAAACATGGACCTTGATGATAATTTTTCAGACTTAGAAATTCCATAGTCAACGTAAAAACTTCCAGTAGTTACCAAATTTTCATTTTTCTTTATAGTGAGAGAAGAGCCACAGCTCTCTGAAACTGCCCTTATTTTTACTGAAAATTAGTTTTATTTCCCTTTCCTAAATATGACAAGGAAAAAATTAAATTGTTCAGTCTACGCCAGGCTGGTGTGGTTCAGTGGTTGAGCGTTGATCCATGAGCCAAGAGGTCACTGGTTCCATTCCCGGTCAGGGAACATGCCCGGTTTGTGGCCTGATTCCCAGTAGGGGGTGTGCAGGAGGCAGCCAATAAATGTTCTCTCTCATCAGTGTTTCTATCTCTCTCTCCCTCACCCTTTCTCTCTCTCTAAAATCAATTTTTAAAAAATTAAAATAATTGTTCAGTATAACTTTAATTTTTCTCCAACAATCCTGTTAAAGTAACAAACCTTTGGCTGCTGAGTTTTAGAAAGCTTCATTAGAGAGAAAAAAAAGAATAATCACACAGAATTTTCTTTTTGTTAATGAGACTCTAGGACATTCACATTGAAACTAGAAAGGACTTCAATCAAGACTCAAAAAAATGTGATCTCAAGTTACCCTGTTTAAAAAAAATCTCTTTTTGTCACAAATCTGATTAATGATTGAAGTTTTATCTTTGTAAATAAGAATCTAATTAACTATCTAAAAATTTTGTCCAATGTCATTCTCAGTCTAACCATGATCTGAGTGTAAATTTTAGAGATGAAACCCAGATTATTTTCAAAACTCTAAACAATATATTCTTTACAAATTCAATATTTCAAATCATTAAAAATGAAAATGTGTATGCCATCATTTAAGAAAAAGAATTTATGTATGATTAATATAGAACTTCCTTGATAATATACAAAGGGAAATAAAGAAAAGAAACACTGGTCAAGTTGAAAGCTATGATGACGACAGTATATTTTTTTACAAGTTCACATAGTTTAAAAGTTCCTTTTTGTCTCATAAAAATCAAGTGAGAAAATTAGAGCCCTATTGCTATTTGGTTATTATTACCTTCATCTTACAAATAAGAAAACCCAGGTTCAAGTGTTTTAAGTGATCTGGCCAAGGTAAAACAATAGTATTTAATGGCAGGACTTGAGTTCCAAATGTGCTTATTCCATACAACCAAATTCTACTGGGCAATAAGACTAACAAATGTATACATAGTTTCAAAATTATGACTGCATCTGCTGTACCTTGCATAAGAGTGCACACTAAAGTTGAAAGGCTTATCAAGCAACTCCTCAGTCAAGATTTTTTATACTTTCATCTTATTGCCCATAAGCCATCTCAATGTATTTTTGTCGAATGAGGTAAGCTGTGAGTTAAGTAAGTATCAAATAATGAAGTCTAAAATTTAATAGAAATTGCTATTGGGACTTAAAGTTGAAAATTAATATATTTTAATATTAGCAGTTATAAAGCACTTTGCTTTATTAATTTTTAATTACTCCCTCTTTGTAACATGTAAGAGAACGTTACCAGCAAACAGAAAATGAAGAAAAAAGATTTCAACTTTTAGAAAATTTTTGCCCAAGAAATACTGAGGGTGGCAAAGAGAGATTTCTTAGGTAATAATCTGATTGGCACTCCCAATACAAATGGATTTGGTTGTACGAGGCCTATGACTCCTCCCTCTCCTAGATGACCAGAAGCCCTCAATTCAATGTCACTATGTAAGGCCAGCAGGCTGAGTTATGCCCTCTCGCTTTCCATCATCACCTCCTTTTAATGTCTCCCATAGAATGGGACTGGCATATTAGCCTCTCACATAATTCCTTCAGGTTGTAGAATTCTAATGGTGATGTATTCTCCCCCACCCACACATGGGCCTTGTTTCACGATATTATAGATTACAAGCTTTTTAAGTGATCTCAATAATCTGTCCTTTTCAGTGTCAAAAAGTAAAATTTTGAAGTTATAACATTACTTTTTCCCTTCTGCATAAATGGGTGATTGAAGGAGCATCCCTGGCATGGAGACATACAGGCTCTACTGAAAATACTTGTTTCATTGTCAAGGACCTTCCTTGTGCCAAAGTCAACTGTCAATCCAGCTTATCAGTGAAGGACTAGAGGCTGCTGCTTTTCTCAGCTATTTCACAAGTATAGGTGTGATGCTTTAAACAAATCTTTATCTTGAATCCTTTAGCCTTTGTCTATTCCATTGGGTTCCCTTAAGATCTTAAAGGCTGAAAGAACACCCCCCCCCCCGCTTTTAAACACAAACTGATATTTCCTTGATAAGTGTGCTTGCCTACCTAAAAAAATAAATCTGTGATTGTAACTAAAGAAACATAGTTTTGCTTACATTCTCCTTATCTGTATTTTCTTTCCGTATGTTATTATTCATACTTCAGAAAAAGCTGCATTTTATTGTCATAAGACTCCTTGAAAACATTCAGAAAAAAAATTGGTTCAATAGATGACCAGTTTATCAGAATAGTCAGTATGTAATTATAGGATTGCCTGCCCAAAGTCTATTTAAATACATATTTTAAGGAAAAATAACTTTAAGGGGAAAAAAAGCCATTAATATAATGTCACTGTTGTGTTCCAACTACAGTGGGGCCTTGACTTACGAGTGTCCCGACTAACGAGTTTTTCGAGATACTAGCCGTCTCTCGGCCGATTTTTTGCTTTGAGTTGCGAGCTAAAATTCGGGTTACGAGCCAGCTTCAGATACCCCACCGCTAGTTGGCGCAGCGAACGTCACAGTGAACTCCACAACATCAGCCCAGCATCACATGTCTCACTTGTTTACTGTTGATTTGACATACGAGTAATTTGAGTTACGAGCTCCGTCATGGAACGAATTAAACTCGTAAGTCAAGGCCCCACTGTATAATGAAGAATTTTCAAGAATGAAGGGACTTTTTTTGTACTTCATAATGAATAATTTTTTATTGGGCATTTTATCAACTGTTTTGCAATATTCTTGAGTTTTACATTAGCTTGGAGTAATTGCAAATGAAAATATAAAGATTTACTCCAATAATCCTTAAACATTAAACTTATTTTTATAGATATCTAGATTATCACTATTGTCTTTTAGATTGTCATTTATTGAGGGCAAGCTAGATATGTAGTTCATCTTGGTTTACCTTATATACATATATCCTATATTTAATAAATATGCCAAATAAATAATTTTTAAATTTCTATTTTATATTTCTGAATTTTTGTTTATTACCTACCTGGTTTACCATATCTACATAGGCTAAGCTGTGTGCATTTTTTACAATCACTTGGCTAAAATGTTTGCATTTTTAACAAACATGAAGTGGTTTTTAACAGACTCGTAGAAATAATGTTCCAGGATATATTTTCAAAATACCAACTCCTCAGAAAAAGCCAGAACAGTTATTATTTAACTTGTTATTCAAATGATAACCAGCATATACATTTGCTGACCAGCTGTGATGGTTATAAAAAAAAATATATATGCATCTGATTTTTTATTTGCTTCAACAGTAGTAAAATTCTTAAAGAAGTCCCAACTCTGTGTTCATAATTTGATAAGACTTGTGACCTCTGTATTTCAAATATCCTCCAATCAATAGGGCAGATCACTGAAGAGGTCACAACGATCCCATTAGTATAGGACACTGAGGAGCATTTTATTCAGTAGTGCGATGGGTCTTCTTTCACATGATGGTAAAATTTGGTTAAAACCCATTAGATCCATTGACTATTTGGGGACTCCAGCCACATGCAAATTACTGGCTACAAGAGTGGCAGTGGGTGCTAAAAATCCTTGTACTCTGTAATTTAATGTATATTTTAATGAAGTGAACAGTGAGATCCCTGACAGGCATCAGCAACTTTGAAATGGCATCTTCCAAATTTCT